GTGTGTGTGTGTGTGTGTGTGTGTAGATACATATTTGTGTGCTTCTTGTTTTCTTTTTGAGATTTAACTTTCCTTTCTACCTCAGCTTTTTTAACTAATTTTCAGAGTTTCCGTCGCAGCACAAAGGCAAAAACTGTTGAAATTTTTACAACTCTACCTAGCTCCTCAATGTACAAAACTCAGTAGTCCAAAAAATAATTTCGATTGTTAAAATTCCATTTCCACAACTAAAAAATTCAATATAAATCCGCAACCTTCAACGAATCAGCAAACTCAAGTTTGCACTTCGTAGGCCAGCTGGAAAAAATACATGTTCAGTTTTGCAACTTGCAACAACTTCACGGAATTATTCGAATTAGGAGGAAGAAAACCTCATCCGGTCGTGGTATTTTGATAAACGCATCAACATCACCAACAGCCGGTATGTAGTCCAATAAGAATGGCTTGATCAGTGTCTCGATGTGCACCGTTTCCGCTGTGTATGCTTCGATGTATCCTAGAAGCTCCTTCTCATCGGATCCAAGCGGTGCTAATGATTCGTCTGAAATTCACTTCCAATTCTTGCCGTTTTTGACTTTTAATATCACAAAATATTTCATTTATTTACAGTACTTTTCCACAATACAAGCTCTGTGTGTATTGTGGCGCAACCCATGCCAGCAAGTGAAGAAGTACGCATCATTGTTGTTTGAAAACTCCAAACGTTCAAGAAATTTTAGCAGACTTCTAATACACAATTTGTTAATTTCCTAAGTTCTTCACCTAGCTCATTGCACCTTCAGTTCAAATTATTGAACAAAAAAGTGATTGCCTAAGCTGCTGGAAGAATATTGTTAAAAGTGGTAAATTCATTTTCTGATGCTTTTCCGCGCCAATAACTGCGCAGCTTACTGTACATTCTAATTATTATAATCAGCCAATATTTTTGCTGAATTTGCTTGGGTTAAACATTTGAATTGGAACAGTGATGGATGCCGCTTTGATAAGGCCTCCTAAATTTACTAATGGATCAGGAATTGCACGTTCTTGATTCACATTAACCGGTAAAGTAATTTACTAGTTTGATCGTGTCCTTCGCCCGGTCTTCCATCGTTTTTCATTTCCAGTTTCATTGTCTCACTGGAAGGTGATTTGGACAAAGCCGGTGCTACCGCTAAACCGGCGATGCCTTGCACGATCGCGCCAACAGTGCTTCCTTCAAGTTGGAACAGGCAGTTTCCTCAGAATAAAACTAATCAAAACACACATATATTTAACGACAAAGTAAGTGGTTGGATTCTTCCTAAAACTCTAGGTCGGAACGCACAAGTTGCCGGTGCAAACATGTATTTTTGCAGTAAACTTGAAGCAGCCAGGTGGCCACTACACGAGTAGTGCTAGTGGTACTCTTATCGCTCACTACTGTAAGTAAATCATCGGAAATTTTATGTAGAGATAAGTAAACAATTTCAGTCGGATGGTCGCTCTTTGAAAATGAAATAGCTGTTCACCGAGAGATTTCCCGTCAAAACTTTGGAATACCCGCACCAACCTCTTTAGTTAAACGAAAAGTCTAATGTAAAAATAGTATAGCCTATGAATGAAAGAAGCTATACTGCATTATGCAGTTAAATCAGGCGATTGGTACTACACCGATGGGCTGAGTTTGTTAATCCCTCGGCACGCTTAATCTGCCCTTAATATTTGTTTTTATTCCACATTTCTTCGTTTTTTTTCCCTTTTAGTCGCATGCTTATAACCTCGCTGTCAGTTTATCATCAATTAATCAATTAATTAGTAAACTAAAATACTGAAAATGATACCAGGTTTGCGCTGCTGATCAAAAGGTGAAGACATTAGTTCGTCATCATCTTCATCGATTAAAGGATGTTCTTCCGGAGTATGATCACCGCTGGAATAAGCTGGCGGTGGTTCCTCTGGATAGGTGCCAGGATGGCCTGATAGAAATTCGTGAATTAGCGAATAAACAGGGGTAGAAGAAAAATCAAATCTGCCACAGAATGATACCAGGCTGGAACGCACAACAGTTGCTGGTGTGATCTTGCGTTTCTGCATCAAACATGAAGTAATCAAGTCGTTAACTGCACGAACGGTTGTTGCTTTACGTTTAACTTGTGAGCTTCACTACCGTAAATCATTGTAAATTTTGCATAAACCAAACCCAAGCAAATTCTGCAAAAGTAGTGGTTGATTATAATAATTAGAACATACAGTAAGCAAGAACAATTTCTGCTTAGCGTTCGTTCCTTGAAAATGACCTGGTTGTTCAGTGAGCAATTTTTCACCAAAACTTTTAATTACCCGTACGCGAGAACCACGCATACATGGAGGCTGAATTTGAAACCTTAAGGCGTTACCTTAAAGTTTCATTTTTTCAGATTTCCTGGTATCCGAATTAGTAATTTTCTCACTAAAAATTTTATATGCCTATGCGTGAGAGCCACGCGCATTTGAGAACTGAATCTGAAATTTTTAAATTGTACTTGGACAGGGAACATCCCCTTAAAATTTCAGCCTC